AGAGAATTGTATGTTAAAGTGAAGGAACGAGGAAATTAAACTAACATTAACTCTGGAAATTATTATCAGGCACTTACGATAAATACATATAGGGTACCGGGGAGTTTAACTGATAATAACTGTTATACAATTATTTAAACTGAGACAATTGTTTAAAGATTCAGCTTCATATAGAAATTCGTTTCCATTAATTATTAAATGTAACAATTTTTACGAATTAGGATAATATTATGTCACCGTTATTTTTGTACGCTGGTGCAAGCCTTTAGACAGGAAATTTATTAATATAGTCAGGTATTTCAGCATCGCGTCAGTCAACCTTGCTTCGTTTATTTGCTATATTCGACTATTTTTAACTTCGGTTACAGCAACCCTCCGCTCGTATACATATAACCCGACGCCGCTTTCCTTCGTTAATCGTGGAAATTTGTGAGGGAACCGAAAACGAGACAGAAAAATACATCTTCGACAACCGCCTCTCGATAAATTAATGTCAAGGCACTTTCTACAACAAACTCTGCCTTATGAAATACAAGACAAAATATCTCACGATATGGGCGAGTAATCCAGTAAATTAGTAGACTGCGGATATTTATACAAATTTACGTGTCTACAAATTAACCCGCAAAAGTAGGAAATGAACAAGCATTTATTACTTCTGTTAAAGTTACTTATTATACTAAATAGAATTTAATTCCATGTGTTCTTCAAGTTTAGATATGTCACATATGCATAAACACCCACAGTTTAGTAATTAGTAATTTACATTAATAATATATAAAGAGAATTATTAAAATACTTATTACAAGCGGAATTAATAATTCATGTAATTTAACTAATTAATTAGTGATCGTGCACTTTCTCAAAGATCCTACTTACATTTCGTTATACATACATACGTATGCAGTAAGAAGTGATGTAAAATTGATAATGATAAATTAAGTACTCGTTTAAATACTTGTAATTAATTCTACAATCATGTATAAAACATAAATTGACAATTCTGAATACTTTTGTCAATACTGTAGTTTATTAGTGGTTGAAGGAGTGTTGTCATAAGACAAGCAGGTAGTGGGTTCCACAGATCTACACGCTAAAGCGGCTAACTAAAGCTTTGGTATTGTTAATCCCTTGTTTATTATTCTGCGGAGGCTTTTTCGAAGCAACGTTCGACGGGTAAAAGGCTTTTGTCCGCTACAAATTCAATTTCAGGTATATAAGACTATGCACGAATTTCTAAGGTCAAAAGGACACCAACTAAATAGTAAGGACACATAAACTCTGTTGTCCTTTCCTTTAGTTAAACTGCATGAATAGAACCACACAAAAACCCCCGTCTTCATTAATAGCGTTTCGAAAACATTCATTTAAAACCGTCACAGAAACAACCGACGATAAATGAAAATCTAACGTATAAAATTTAAATACTTCCGAAACATCACAACGCTACAAAAAAAAACGGATTATGTACATCGCTGCGTATACACCACGCAATTAAGGACTGTTAATTAAGCATTTATGATGCGAATAGTTAAAGAACTGCAGGTATGCGATTACTAATAATTATGTATTACAGTATCGTGCAGTAATGTTATAAATATCGCATATAATATAACTCAATTAAGTTTACAACCCATTCGACCATAAACTCGAAAAATTCAGGGAATCAAAAAAGTTCTGTGTTTTGACCAATAAATGTCACGCGACGATACTTTGCTGTAACAGCAACACTATCTCTCTATCACAGAATATTTGAACTACTTTTGAATTTTCTGCTTACAATTTACTATCTCGTTTTTATTGTTATATTTTTTTCTTATGTTTTTCCCGTCTCTTTCCCCCTTATATTGTACTTCTCTTATATCGGTTGCTAACCAGTTACAACCCGAAATTCTATTTTCTTGAATCCCTCGACTATTAAACCGTTAGATAGAAAGAAAAGGTAAATATTCTATCTGGTATGATTTACAAATTCAGTACTCACCTTACGGACATCCGCTACGAGGATTTTTCGAGTCACCGACCTACGTTACACTGGATCATCTTCGGTCTTAAGCCACAAGAAAACGTTTCTTCTTTCACACGCGTTACGAGTCCTGGACACCACTGGATAGAAACACAATTCCTGGCATGAATTTCTTTCGGTTTCACGAAAGGGAAATTTGTGAGTAAAAATAACACTAGCAATAGACCGAGAGTTGCATGGAAAGAGATCTGCCTCCTACCGTTGTCGTTCGAAAACTCATGGTGCCAGCTTGATGCGGTCGTGTGCTCCTCTCCCCCACTCCGATGTAGTTAATCGTGGTGTAGAAACCTCTCGTGTTGCTCGTATTTCGACCTGACTCTCCGTGTACACACGAGGCGTACACACATGTAACATGCACAAAGGCGCAAAGTTGGGTACACGTGCAGTCGGAAAGACCTTCTTAAATTTCACGCACGTACGATGGGATCGATACTCCTTTCCTACAAACAGTTTTATTTAATTTATACGTGTTCACATATGTAAAATAAAAAAAATATATTGGTTAACACATGTGCGAGGCGATCTTTCTTCCTCTACTTCTATATTTACGTTCTTCAAATATTACTATTACAGTGGAACATTGAGTAACGTTCAGGGTACAGCATCGAAATTATGACAGGGAAAAAGAAAACTAACAAGGTAAACATTATAAAGCTGTATACACAATAGATCGAGCCTTTTAACATGAAAATTATTTTATGAAGTATTACAAAAAACAATTGTATGTAATACTCACTGTAGATGTGGCCAGAACTTTTGAGCGGTAGTAGTATAAACTACTAGTAGTAGTAGTATGAACAAATACTGTTAAATAGAACGTACAGATTATATATACAAAGCAAGTATTAATATACAAGCAATTAATGTAATTAATCGTCAATAATATTTACATGTGTATCTAGCTGTAACTGCAAGTTGCAAGAATTTTGCGCGGGAAAATAACAACGACGCAACTTGTACTTCGATCAAACCTCCGTAGGTATATCGATTTCATTCTCGATATAGTTACACTGTAAATTTAGAACGACTTGCAGATATCGTTAAGGATCATTCAAGCACGCTATGCAGGGTTATCAAAAAATTCGTGGAGGTTATTGCTAAGCCAGCAAGGAGTCAAGATTATACGATAAGTAACGTACACCGTCTTGCGTTACTCGGTTCTGCATATACAATATTGCAACTGCACTAGCCATCTATATAATTTAATCTATATAGTCGTGATTCTATTCCCTTCGTCTCGTCGAAACAAAATATCGTTATCACTGCTAATTTGTGACTAAATTGCACTAAAAGTTACTAAAATCTTTATTTTTACTGCAATTCGTAGGTTAGAAGATGCTAAATATGCATGTACTTCCGCAATCTACTTACAATTAGTACTGATAAAAACTGAATATTTAACGTTCTCTTTCTTCGTAAAAGCAATATGAAATCATTCAAGATTTTTTTTTAATACATCTTCAAGATACGAATGAATACAATTCTATAAAGTGACAGCTTTTCTTAAAAACTTCTAGTGTTTTTAATAATTGCATAGCATACGCACCCTTACGAAATGATTCTTGAGATAGCATACGATTCTTGCGTGCCCCGTCGCGCTTGGTTTTCTTTCGCAATGAAAAGGACCTTTATACTACTTTCCCTCTCTTTTAGGCACCCCCTTCGCCCTTCGATACACGTGACTTGTTCTGCAACACACTTCCATGAATAAGTAACGTGACAGACGAGGAGACTCTATTAGAATAGTAGGCGGGACCTTAGGGCGCCTCACGCAAACACCGTTGTGCACATATACGCGCCTACATGTAAATAAAAATGTAATCTCTGGAAATATGCTTTCATGTACATGTAAAAATGGTATAAAAAAGATTTCTTAACAGAAAATAATCTGTTATTATATGTTCTATGAAACTGTTTTTCGCTGAACTTTTTTTGTATTGAAAAGAAGATAAAAGTGTCAAGATCTGTAGTTAGCATGATTCACTCGCTCACTGTATAAATGCTGAGTGTCAATATGTAGTATTTTTACGCGTTCTCTTTTTAAGAAAAACTAACAAATCTATAATTGTAATAATTGCCAAATTTCGATTGCCAATTCAGATACTGTTTACTTGAAGGTGATAAAAATACTTGCCAGCAAAGTCGATTATTTTACTTAGTATTAAATATTAAAAGTAACCAATACATTGCGTTCTAAAAACTAACTTCCGGTTTTCCGGATCATGTATTGTAAAGGAAACACGTAGAGGAAACTATTTAAGATTCTATCAACTCATGCACATATACTTACTAAACACAGGCAAAAGCGTGAGGAAACTTGTGAATTTATCTATCGACATACATCAATATCGGAATCACATTCAATTTATTGATCATTGTAATATCACTAGTACTGAGTCACTGCACAGAACATTAAAATGTAAGGGCACATTTTTTCAGCAATATATAAAGTTATATTTACCAGTTTCGTATAAAATTATTAATACCTAAAGAAGCATTCCTTCAATAGTAAAGTAGACATAATTTTAATACTTTTGTTAGAGCTATTTCAAACTGTCTTTAATTACACTAATCTCGATACTATAACTACAGTGTGTAAATTGGTAATAATGTGTAGAAATTTTTATTTTGGATTAGTGGTTAAAAAGGACGTATTAATGTACATGTCGAGCTACTGCAATAAAAGTATTTTCCTTTTGTATGCTATAAAACTATTTTCACTGATCAGAAACAAATGAAACAATGAATTTGTCAAAAACTGTTATGTAAATAGTTTCTTTACGGTCTTAAAAATTGGACGTTGTAGTAGTCAGTTCCGTTCGTACAGCGCTCCAGTCGTAGCACTTAGAAGTAATATCCGGCCACGTTAGAATAGCTTGTTTGGATAAATTTTTGGCCGGAGCTCTGATCGACTAATATAATATCGTAATTTGCAAATTCGATATAGACTTTAATGTATGTAGAATAGTAGATAAACAACAATAGGAAAAAAATTAATAAGAAAATGGACTACTGGTCGATCTGTTTGCTGTTCGTTTCGCTGTTCAGCACAATATTACGCACTGGTGGCGTCGAGCTAACCTTCGAATTGCCTGATAATGAAAAACAGTGTTTTTTTCAAGAAATTGAAAAAAATGCGACGGCAATGCTCGAGTTTCAGGTATGCGATTATGTACGATAAAATGAATCACGTCTCGTGAGACGAATTTGTGAAATGATATGTACTACTAATTTCATTATAGTGTAATGTCATTGGCCACGTTCGCACTTACTGATTAAATGTCATACGTAGACTGTGGATCTTATGCATTTATAGAACATACGAAAATTTAATGAAATTTACTTCGGTTTATATTTAATTTAGAACCAATTGAACCCTTAATACATTGATCACTAGAAATTTTCGTTCACGCAGGGTCATAATTGTTGTATCGTAAAACAATATGTTCCTTAATAATTGTGATTACTGTTCAAGACACAAAAAGGAATAAGTTATTAAATGTACTCGCAAATGATTATCGTATTTTACTGATAAGAAAAATTATGTAAATATTTCTTTTTAATAAGTGGTTTTTTCGAACTTTTATTTTTTTCATGTTTATAGAAGTTGGAGAAACGATTATATATATACATTTAAATCAGACACATTATAGATTACAATGATATTTGAATTTTGTATTATGTATCTATTAGAATATGTTTTAAATTATCAGGATATGTATATTTTAACATAAGAAAATGTCTTATAGGTTGTGACAGGTGGACAATACGATGTAGATGTAACATTGGAAGCTCCAAATAAAGAAGTTATCTATCAGCAAATTAAAACTCAATTCGATTCACATCACTTTACAGCCTATATGACAGGAGCATATAAGGCATGTTTTAGTAATGAGTTTTCAACATTCTCACATAAGCTCGTTTACATGGATTTCCGTGTAGGTGATCAGATGCCACTTGTTGGTCTTGGAGAACATGTAACTGTTATGACTCAGGTAAAATCAAATACTGCTACTTAAATATTTTTTTAGACTACGTATGTTAAACAAAATCTTAATTGATAATTGAAATCTAAAGCTTTTGCTAATATAAATATAAAAAACAGATATAATATCACATTAGACTGTAAAAGTTAACTGCTTACCATCTATGTAGGAATATATTAAAAAGAATGTACATTAAAAACAAAATATTCTTGTTTAGATGGAGTCTTCTGCAAAAGAAGTGCACAAAAATTTGAACAGAATTATAGACTACCAAACACATCATCGATTAAGAGAAGCACAAGGCCGTAAAAGAGCAGAGGATCTGAATGACCATGTACTAAAGTGGTCCATTGTAGAAACAATTACAATTCTACTCATATCTATCGGAGAGGTGTATATTTTAAAAGCATTTTTCACAGAAAGGAAGCCTTAACGCGTCTGCTAGTGTATTTGCGAATGACAATGTTTTTTTTGTTCGCAATAAAATAATTTATCCGTCTGAGCAACGTGAAACAGTGTTACAAGTAACGTTCCACGAGCTCTACTCATCAGTCATGGTGCCATGTTAGCATTGGCCAGTTATTTCTAGTGTCCATGCTTAATGTTGGACGTACAACTTTACATCAGACAGACGGAATATTCTAGTACGAGAAACACTGTTTATTCGTGTATGAAATTGTTGTGTATGCGCGGACATGTGTGTATCATTTGAATATTAAGTTATAGAAAAGATGGGCGTTTTCATATGGGTACCTGCTCCACCGTAAACTGCGGCAAAGAACATGAAAGCAATCGGACTGTTATACCTCTTATGCTAAATACTTAAGTTGTATTTATATTTTGGTACTGGCAGTGTAACAGGCATTGTCACGAAAAACACATTTTTTCTTACTGTGAATCTGTAATATAATAAAGTAAAATATTTCCGCGTTTAACTATGTTTGCCTTTATAGTAACTTCATCCTCATTTCCATTTTATTATGAATACATGCCTAAACTATGTAGCTAAGACAACGGATTTATTTTACTCGTTATAAATACATATTTTACCAATTAGAAGTATTCAAGGATGTACAATAGTTTTTTCATATCATAAATATTTAATACCTCAATAATTATAATTACAGATGTATTATAATAGATACATTGGTATTTTTTACGTCAAACTAAATATGTATTGTGTAATAGAAATAGTGGTCACATTAAATATTTGTCATAACGTTTATCTGATTAAATAATACGTTTTGGACAATATGTTGATGGAACATTTTTTATTTCATTTGAAGTACCTGATAATACTGAAACTCCATCACAAAAACATACCAACCGATCACTAAACATGTTAGTTAGCAAGTGAGCGATAAGTAGGTACTGTTCAGTGTAAAATCTAGTGATATCATTCAACGGTTAAATACGCTGTACGCAGCCATTAAGACAGCCGGTATCGTATCTCAACCGCTATAATCACTTTGAAACGTTTTAACAATACTATAAGCCATAAGCAACAACCAGCAACAGCTGTTCTAACCTACAGAGAAACAGACAGAAGACAAAATAAGTATATACAAATATATAAAATTATGGAGGTACGTTTGAAGTATTAAAATTGTATTGTAGTGCATTGTTATGAATTATCTATCAATCAGCAATTTGTATTTATTTAGTATTTTAAGTCTAATGTTTTTTCTAAATAGGAGCAAAATATTTCCATTGATATTAACACTGGGAAGTTATTGGAATGGTTAATCAGTAGGCGGCATTGTAATAAAGATTGGCATGCACAAGTTTTAATTATCAGAGAAAAAATTAATAATGCTATTCAAGATATGCCAGAACATGAGGGTATTGTAAAATTGTTGTCTGGAGCATGTAAGTTGTATTTGAATATTTATTCTACTACATATATGTATTATCTATTATCATGTTTATTTATATTTTTTAGATATAAATTACTTTCACTGTTTAAAAATTGTAGAAATATTAAAAGAAACAGAGGCAGACACAAAAAATGTATTTGGTAGATATGGATCACAGAGAATGAAAGACTGGCAGGATATTGTAAGAGCATATGAGAAAGACAATGTGTACCTTGCAGAAGTTGCACAAATTCTTATTAGAAATGTTAATTATGAAGTTCCTAGTACAAAAAAACAGATTCAAAAGTTGAAGCAAATGCAGATTGTAAGTATTTATGGCAAATATTTTCTATTTTTATCTTTTTGTGGACAATACCATATGATGCAAATATGTATCACAGGATTTAGAAAAGAAGGAGGCAGAATATAAAAAATCGGAGAATGCAGCTCAGTCAGAGTTCAATTTATTATGCAAACAATTAGGTATTCCTGGACATCACATTAAACAAGAAGTGGCAGAGAAAGTAAAAGAACTTCAAGAAATTTACGATAAAATTGCGAAAAAAGCAAAGTCGGTAGACAAAGCTGCAGAGTTTTATTGTGGCTTTGTTAATTACACTCTGGGCAGACAGCATGATGGTGGCTGTGTTCCCATGTTGAAATACGTAATTGGTATGCTAAAATTTAATTAGAAAGAATGTACTAATGATATTTTATACCATATTATATGTTATAAATTTATTAGACAAAGGAAATACTACCACGTATGAATGGATCTATGGAGAACCTCCATTGTCAGTTAATGAACCACCCTTGAACATAAGTATAGACAATGATGATTTGGAAAAAAAGAAAACAGAAGATACAGATAACATTGTGTGTAAATATTTTCAGCATCTTTAAGTTGCTTTTTAAAAGGCATGTTTAAGTATTTTTTAAATTACAGGGAATTGATTTTGGTGAAATTGACCTAAATGCAGATGTAGATTTGGGTGATAATGTTAATTTAGAAGATGGGGGTGAAATTGATTGGGGTGATGGCAATGTAGTAGAAGATGCACCTGGAGACATAGATTATAATATTTCCTTGGAAGAATCTGGTATAGTTGTGGAAGCAGCTGGTCATGAAGGTGGAGTGGCTACTGGTACTGAAGCGTATACAATTCTTGATAACCCAACTACTAGAAGTGACTTTATTAATCAGCTATTTGAGGTACATATATTTTTTCTTCTGTTTCTAATTATATTTATGTTGTTCTTGATAGCGATGACAATTTTTTTCTGAATTGGTTATATCTATATAGCTGGAATCATTCCTTAAATTACGGTTGTACGAATTTAAAGTCGATGATAGTATGAATTTTCTGAGCTTTAGTCAGCTGCAGGACTCATCTTCTGTTCTGCAATATTCTACTTTGGAAAACACTCAGAATATGTTAGATAATGTAGAAGTTGTTTTATCCGAGATTTTGGACAAGAAAGTCCAACATTTACATAACATTAAGCATTCCCCAAGGTAACTGAATGAAAGGTACGTTATTTGTATGAACTATTCGAAAGGAACTAACGTATTCTGGATGTTGGTAGGTATGTGGATGTTTTAGCTGCTTCTTTAAAACAGAAGTTAAGTTTAATTGATAAAATGACAGCTTTACAAAATACTATGAAACAAAAAAAGAAGGATGCTGCAGAAGAAGCAGATTCTCTTGGACCTCTATTACAATGTATTATACAGAGAACAAAGGAATTACAAACACAGGTATTTATAATATTTCTCAAACTACACTTATCCTATACGAGTAATCGTCCGTGGTAGCAAAAGGGTTATAGAAATATTTCTTCAATCGTCTTTGTTATTTACAGATAGAGCAAGATATTTCAAAGAAATATAAAAACAGAGTTGTACGCTTAACTGGAGGCATAAGTACTTTGTAAATAATTAATATTATAAAAGGGACAGTGTAAATTGTACTGTTGTGTAAAAAGAGTCTTATACAAAATTTTATATTTCAATCAATTTTAACGCTGCTGATAATGTATTATATATAAAATGAAATACCATAAAACAATATTTTCATATATATATGTTGTGTTTATGATTTCGAGCGTTACATACCACTTTTGTACCTTTACTCGTGTCAGGTATTATAAAATTTATGGAAGCACATTCTTTGGCATGTTAACCTACTTTATGAATTAATTTTACAATTCTATTACGTATATTTCGTAATCCGGTCGATAATTACATAGTCATAAAAAGATTTTGTACCAATCTCCAAGGCGACGAGGTACATACAGCTTTGGTCGTCGGGCAAGGGTAACGTTTTAAACATTCGGCGAACGAACGATCACATTCGCATAATCGTTGAGCACACGATCCAGATCCTCCCCAGTTTCCGTGTTCAACAGCTGTAATTTAACGGAAAGTAAGTAAATATGATTTTCTCAATTGTTTACAAAGTGAATTCGGTAAATAAAACGAACCGCATACTGGCTTGTAACCGTGATAACATCTCCAATAATATGGTACAAAATACTCTGAAAACATTGGGCAATCAGTAGCATCGTAACACCAGTCATGCATTTTACAACACCTAAAAGAAAAGAAATTATTTTCATTTTTAATCGCAAACTTTCAATTTAAATTAATTAATTAATATATTTGGTACTCGTTTCATTGAACTTAATAAACGTACAAACCGAATCTTTTTCGGCACTTAAACAGTTTAAAACAGAAATTACCTATCTATTCCATCTATTACATATCCTGAACCCAAAAAACCGCAATAACATCCGTATCCTTTGTAAGCTAAAGGATTGCATCCAGTAGCACAAACTAACATATTATAGAGATGTATTACTCCTCTTTTAAATCTTTTATGTGATACAGTCTCTTCGTTGTGTATTCTAAAACAATGTATATTTTATATCAGACATAAATAACAAATATTTGTTACATTAAAATGATCCTACATATAGATATCAAATTCAAGTATTATTATAAAGGACTTGTGAAATTTTCAAAGTATCGGGACTTACACTAATTGATAATCCTCCGTAACATTGTGCGTAAAATTAACAAAAGGACGCCCTTGTATATAAACATTTGCCTTCTGGTTTTGTATGGACACTGATTCCAATAACTCTCCACCTTGCCCTACCGGAAGACTTCCTTGATACCATTCATCATCTACGTGATTAGTAGATGTCTCGTCCTTGTTTAATCTAACTGTTTTGCTATTGGCGATCACCTTTTGAACATTCAGTGGATTCCTAGCTGTACATTAACAAATAATACTGTGACATCAAATGTTTTTATTTTTTATGCTTATAAATTACAATGGACAGTTGAAATCAAACATAAGACACAATTTACGTGTTTTTTCTTTATTCGAGTATAGCTTTGATTAGGCACTAAAGAGAAAACTGGTGCGAAGCTTGAATTAAAATACAATTGATGCAATTCATTTTCTATCCGTTTACTTAGTTATTTAACTGTGCTCGTAAACGCGCTTTTCTCTCCGTTGTTTCAACCGTACATTCTTTTTATTCCACGCTGGCTGCACCGTGATCTGTAACAGTGAGGCATACATCCGTCTACGGTGCGCGGTATACTTATTTATGACACTGAAAAACTTACATATTGGTCATCGAACTTAAACGAATCAGAATTAGTAATTTAAAAACTTGTCAAAGTCGGAATTGTCATTAAACAATCTGTTATTATAACCGTATAACAGTATTCAATGAATGAAAAAAAAAACAATTAAATTCTTTAACTTGTGGTATAAAAAATTGTATCTTATTTCAGACAACCGTGTCCGACCTTTTTTAAAGAAAATATCTTAATCCCAAGTTTCTATATTGTATTTCTCCTAAGACGTGCTACTTACTTTAAACTTTAAATCGTAAGAGAGAGAAATCAAAATTTAACCGACTGAGCATATTTTTTTTAACGATTGTTTGTATTTTATTTTATCACATACCACGACTGTCACCGTAAGGGGATGATACGAGTATCACAAACAATACGACGAATAAAATCCTCCATTGAAGCATCGGTTGCGGCATCCCAGAGCCATGAAGAAGCAGGGTGACGTTGATCCTTTTACGGTTCATTGATTTACACGTTTTCATGTCATATCAGCTGCAAACCATTCTTAACTCGTCCCACATAAACCTAACCGACAATCCTGATTTCAAACGATCGTAGCGTTTCACATGAAAGCTCATTGTTCGTTGCATACCATCGACTCGACGGAAGAATTCATTTACAGGCCTGTCAATCGCGAGTTACAGAGGAATCACTTCATGAAACTGACTGTAAGTATTAAAAACAGTTTTCTAACTAAATTCTTTTTTTCCGGTATTTTGCAAACCAATCCATCCAGTCCTTCATACGTCCGTTGAGTGAACATTTAGAAACTGACACTCGAAGAAGAAACCGATTCAACGAAATCCACAACTTCTTGAAGTTGCACGAAATAAAAACATCACAATCCTCTTGTACGTAAATCAATTGGCCGAATAACTGAACAACTATATTATATAGACATACTACTTATTTCCATGTAATAACATAATTTGGAGCCTCGAGTGTTGTCGACTTCTATTCGGTTAAGGGTGAGTCTTCGAACGTTCTCCAAAACGACTTCTGTACATGCGAGAGGTAAGCCAACCACTGACAGGTCTTATCAAACGCGGCTGGTCCAATGGTTTTCCCTATTATTCCTCCTTCCACAGTGTACAATATACCTGCACGTTTCACGACCCCCGATTCACTGGTCCGTTGAACCTACGTGACCCGAGGTTGCTCCGTAGCATTCGAGGAACGTCACCTCGTCTGATCCTCGCCATCCGAGGAGCCACGGGGCGCTCAGCCGCGCTATGAGAAACCTACTGTTACACTTTCGACGAGTTCCTTGAAGAGTAGAGGACCCGAGACGTGTGTACCTTCTTGTTCCACCTCCACGAAACCATGCTCTGGCTTCCTAATATCCGATGTCCTATCTTTATGGCTCGGCTACCAGGTTCCTCGACCTCTTTTAACAGTTGGACCATTCATAAACGAGAGTTTCCGTGAGATTCGATCAAAATATCGAATGTTTTAATTGTATCAGTTTCTCTTGCTCATTCGTAAACGAAATTTTACAAGGTAGTAATTAGGTCTTTCTGGTCGCTCTAAAATGGGATTTGACCGTAGATACGATCTAAATTTTAAGTGGACCACGGTCTTTCCCAAATAAAACTGAAAGGGCAAAGGATAATGTAACTAACCGTGTTAAAATTTCTCTTAAAATCTTGCGACTCGGACGAAGACAACGGTTGTGGCTAAACTTCGTATACCATAAATTAAATTCTATTATCAGATAAAATAAAAATAGACGCTGTTGTGCTCGACAACTCTGCGAACAAATAAATACGCTGAGAGAAGAATAATCAAAATGTATCTAAAACCTTTCTCTTGTATGATTTTTAAATTTATATTTTTAAGATTATTCAAAATATTTCTTTTACAATTAATGTATTATTTGTACGAAAACAATAATTAGAGGTATTCTGGTCGACTATGCGAATTTTCATCGATACGGTACACGCGATTTACGTCGATGATACGATTTTTATTACAAAACTTCCTTTCAGAATTCTATACAGAATGATAAGAAAGAAAGGTCTAAGATTTTAGAGGCTTATAGTACTCACCGAGAGGAGTAAAAAATCTCTAATCAACACATGTACATAAATCCTAAAATCAATCATTTCGGTGTAAAATTAACTTTTTGAAAATGTACGTCTAATCCGAAAACGTGAGTTTTTCATTGAAATGGAAGGAAGAGAATATCTATAACACGTGAAAACAAACCTTTGTGTTTTTCTTTGAAAGGATGTATTTTGGAATCCATGTTGATTAAATATTTTTTACTTCTCTCAGTGAGTACTATAAGTTCCTAAAGTCTTAGATCTTTGTCTTTTAAATCACCCAGTATATCAAACACATCCCACAGATCAAGTATTGAGCAAGAATTCACCGACTGACCGACTGCCCAATGAAACTAGCAACAGCAAAATAGGAGAACTTCATTTCCCGAGGATTCGCAGTGAATGGATCCGCTGAGTTGCATCTAGCGGTACTTGCCGCGTACGCATTACACAGATAGATGTTTGCTAAGATGTTGTCGAGTATCATTAGACATTTTCCATAACATACAAGTCTGAAATAAATTCCTTATTATACATTTCAGAGATTATACTGAATATTCAACACGAGATTATACTGAATATTTGAACGCATCCCCCTGTTTTAAGTGATATTTAAATTATCATTTAGTGTTTTAATGGAAATGAAAATACGACGACCGTGATCTTCACAGACTGTTCTATATACAGAGTGTTAATAAAAATGTGGGACACTTTTACAGGGTGAATTCAACATGTTACACTAATGCAAGAAAAAATTATGAAATTGCATTCGAGGCTTCGAAATGTTCACTTTCGTGTAATAATCACCAAACGACGACCAATCCGAACGTCAATCCTGCAGGTGACAAGGGTGAAGAACCGGCCGTGACGAGGATTTCGCTTTCAGGAAGCAAAGATCGTACCTTTGCACAATGCGTACGCACCCAATAGAACAATGGCCCGTCGAAGAATGAACGCGGCAAACGGTTTCGTCAGCGTTAAATATCATTTTACCGTGTTTCCTGAATTGCGACAGTTCTCCCGAGAATCGATGGACCCGCAGAAACGATCTGCAATTATTCGCCGGACCGTGACGATCGATACGAACAACGAAATTGCTCAATACTTCCACGGAATATTACTGCATAACTATGGCCAGATTCATAAACAGTGCAGCGAAGAACCAAGAGAAAAAGATCATTGGACTAATTGTGTCAAGTTTTCGTTTTACCATTTTCGGTCAAATTCTCGAACATTTTCTCCGATCACAGACACGAGAACGAATATTGCACCACTCGCGATTTACTATCTTGCTTGGATAATCGTTAAATGGATAGCAATTTTTGGTTCGCGACAAAACTCCGCAATTCGCAACATGCAATTCCATCTGCAATCTGCACGATGTCCGAGTAAGTACTGCTTTTATCTCGACTACAAAGCAGTTTGCTTTGTCCCTCGGCAAACGTTGAATATTTTCATGTTGTGCAACCTTAAATGGATAGATTGCGTGCTAGCTAACTAATCGGCTCGTGTTTCCCTCTGATTCGCATTCTTCGAAGAGCACTTTCTCACGATGCACGCCCGTGCCTACGAACCTTTACAGCAATTGCTGTAACGGGAAATAAAAAAAAAAATGACTTTTAATTTAAAAAGTTTGTAAATTTAATTATTTATCTCTTCATTATATTAATTTTTTACCACTGTGTCCACTTGACACTGAGGGACAAATCAAGTTGGGAAAATAAGGTACGGATGAGGGTTAATAGAGACAGAATATTTACAAAATTGCACAGTTCCCAGGAGGTTCTGAGTTTCACCGAAAAATTTTCCGGATTCCTGCCACTTTCCTAGAAAGAAGATGTTAGGTGATCTAAATATGTAAATTGGCCTTTAGTGACCGCTGTTGGAAGTAGACCGTCTGTGTAGCCAAGTGTATCGCAGCGTAATTTCGCTAGGAGTATTCAAGGCTCTGCTCATTTTACCCTGAATTCAAGGCGAGGCGTAATAGTACGAAGGATTCCGTCGTAACGTTATCGTGAAATCGATCCCATGCTTTCACCAGTGTGATTATCACACAGGATATAAAATGGGAGAAGCGACAATTTTCTTATTTACTGATTGAGGATCTTTACGAAATATCCTTTGGTAGGTGTGGTTGGATTCGATCAATCAGTTACGCGTTTTCATTGAAATTATGCAATTTTCAGGGACTTACTTTCAATGTCGAGCCACTGTAGAGACTACAGAGTCGCATCAACTTTCGTTCTTTTTTAACGCTTTCTTGTTCCTCAATCTGCTCGTAGACAGGTTCTTTTCACTTTGCTATTACGGACGTTCGTAGAAAATGTTTCAGTCAGGCAAAACAGCGATTGCTCAGGTATGTGCTCAACACGGAATCATAAAAAAAGGGATCGCTGACACGAAACGCAAGATGGACGGTAATTTCGTGGGAAAGTATCTCAGTATTTGCAAACTGCTTGTGGTCGTGAAAATTTTGCTGGATACCGCTGTCCTTTGGTTATTCGGCCACAATTTCCTTTCATTTCATCTCTTTATGGAGTACTCGAGAAATTACGGAGACAGAAGTGTCTGAAAACAATTGTCTGACAGCGACTGAAGCTTCAAGAGGAAACTTCGTCATGCGCTCCCCGGTCAGTTCAAATTTGGACAACTCTTACAGTGTTATACAGACAGCTTGCGTCCAAGTATTAGATTTGAAGCTTAAAGGACATAAATTAATCCCCGTATATTAATAATAACAATAAATGACCAGAATACTGTTAAAATCGCATTTAATCGCGGAATACCACTATTTTTTTTTACTGGTGGCGCCACCCGTGGCAAGTCGCTCAAACTGTTAGGCAAATCATACCGACAGATAAGTGAAAATTCCTAGTGATAGAAAAATGTAAATATCTCAGTAATTAGGCACTCAAAATAAAGGTCGTTTGTCTCAAAGTATTCGTGATGACCCAATGCATCGATTAAATATGGCAGAACTCTAGATTTAGACCAAACATTTCTGTCAGTATTGATACCGTTGGCGGAGAGAATTCTTCAGATTATTTGTGCCTGCGATATTAGATTGATGCATTTGGTGATAACGAATAATTAGAGACTAACGACGTTCATTTTAAGGACCTAATTACTGAGATATTTAAATTTCTCCATCACTAGAAATTTTCACTCACCTGTCGATATAATTTGGCTAGCAGTTTGAGCGATTTGCCACGGGTAGCGCCACCGGTAAAAAAAATAGTGGTATTCCGCGATTAAATGCGATTTTAACAGTGTTCTGGACATTTATTGTTATTATCAATATACGGTGATTAATCTACGTTCTTTAAGCTTCAAATTTAATGCTTGGTCAAGACGAGAGCTGCTAGCATAACGGTGTAAGAGCTGTCCAAAGTGAACTAAACGCGGTGCGCATGAAGAGAGATACTGTCAGCCATTGC